AATTGCAAAGGTCCTGCCGCTGCTCAATAGTTGTCCACCATGTACTTCCATCAAGTCGCCCCATTATACCAGCACGACGCCTGAAGCAGCAGGAAGCGTGTGTAGTACCAGTACCATCTTTGTGATTAATCGTTGTCCCCACTGAGCCCGTGGCAAGTAAGGCATAAGCTCGCGACATCATCGGGGTGGTGCCTATACATGGTTGCCAGATAGCGCATGTATAAGTCTCTGTCCAGCACCTGTTCGGCAAAGTGAAATAATCCACTGACGTGCTCGCTGTCCGTAAGAGCTGAGGCCAGGGCTTGTACATAGTGCTGACAGGACTGGCTGGTGCCAACATACGCGTCTGCAATAATCTCCAAGAGACATGCCCTGTACTGCCATTGCTTGCTTGTTGCAACAGTTGCATCACCACCAGATATTTAAGTGGCCGGACCTGCTTGCCATTGCCATGGCAGGATCATAATACCAGCCCATAGAGCCAGCATCATGTTTTCCAGAAGCATGCTCGCCATCCATGAAAGAAAATACAGCAGCGGCGTGTGAAAAAGAAGGACTTAAACAGCGCGCCTTCTATGGCAACAATGCAGTAAGACGGTGACTACTTCACAATGAGGTCGCATACTGGAAGAACCCAAAGACAGCTTGACGAAATAGAGTACCGGACACTGTAGGAGCAAAGTCGAACATGCAAAAGACCCAGTTCTCGGAGGAAAGCGCAAAAAATCGAGCCGAGAACCTTCATTGCCATTCAAGGCTCGAAGGCACAGACAAGCATCCTTTTCCAGACTCTTCAGGCTTCAAGTTCTTGCGATTTCAAGGTGGCTCTTCAGGTCGGACTGCGCTGCGTTCCACAGAGGGTCTGTGCAGCAGCCCTGCAGCAGCCTAATGCAAGTCTGACCCTACAGCAAGCCTGCAAAACCTGCTGCCTGCCCAGTTTCTCTTGTAAACATGAAAGGCGCACGGACGACAAAGAACGACGGAAGGAAACTTCTTTTAGGAAGACCCTTCAAGGGGAACCCTTGAAGCCCCCTTGAAGCCCCCTTGAAGTCTCCTTGAAGAACCTTTCGCTGAAGGGGACCATTTAGAAAAACAGCGTGATTCAGTGGAAACATGAAATAAACCCTTGAAGTTTTGAAAAAACTGTGCATTCATAGTGCACTGTGGTTTTTTCCCTCTGGGGCCTTTAACTGGAGAAGGATAGTTGAGAATTATCTTTCGAGTTCTCCCGCAGAAGGAAATTTTTTGTCTACACCCTTCTTGAATCTTGTTTTGCCCTGTGAAGTGAAGCCCCCTTTGAAGCCCCCTTGAAGCCCCCCTTGAAGCCCCCCTTGAAGCCCCCCTTGAAGCCCCCCTTGAAGCCCCCCTTTGAAGCTCCCCTTCAAGCCCCCCTTCAAGCCCCCCCCTTCAAGCCCCCCTTCAAGCCCCCCTTCAAGCCTTCGACCCTTCGCCCCCCCCCCCCTCCCCCACCCCCTCCCCCTTCACCCCCTCCCTTCAAGCCCCCTTCAGTCCGACCCTGCTTCAAGCCCCCCTTCAAGCCCCTTTGTACGAAGAAGGCCGGCCCAGCCCCTGTTTTCCCCGCATTTTTTAAGTGTAGTACTCGTGTACAGGTCTGCTACACGCGCTTTCTCAAGACGTTTTTTCGGTTTACCAGTCTTTCAAATACTCAAGTAAGGCCTCACAATCCCCTTCAAGGGCTCCAAAAACCTTATCAGAACCTCCCAGAGCCTTTTTCCAACTTTGCGGGCTGCCCGTTGGAAAAATCGCTGAAAAACGTGGTATCGCGCGGGTCCACATTCAGGACCGACAAACGACAAGAAACATAGGACGCATCAGAGCCTGTACAGTTGACTCTCAATCGTTGTCTCTATTGCAATAGACTGGCCTACTTTTCTGCTGATGTGGTAAGAGGCATCCTTAAAAAAAAAATGCAAGTTTTCGAATCCCCCAAATTTGGTTCCACGAAATTTCGAAGTTAAAATTCGATGTCGAGGAAATTTCAGTTTCCACGATATTTGCGAGGGTTCCAAGTTTTCAAGAAATTGGAGTTTCCACAATATTTGCGATGGTTTCGACATTCCGGAATTTGAGCTCCGCAACGTGCGGAGATGCAGAGCACAGAAAGAGGGGAGAAGACAGCGGGTTGCGGCTAAACTGTCGTGTTTGATTTTGCGCGGACAACTCTGCAGGTTTTTTGCTGGTCGGAGTGCTAAAACCGTAGTGTGTTTTGCGTTTGTTCCGAGAGGTCATTTGTATGTTGAGAAACGCAAAACATAAGAGTTGTTGAAAAACGCAAGACGGTTTTTTTGGCGCCAACGCCAAAACCCGCAGAGAGGGTACGCACTCCTGGGCGCACACTGACAGACCTCGCTGCCTCCGAGCCCCTACGACTTAAACCCAAACCTGGAACCTCTGTGGCGTCCGACTCGCCGACGTTGAAGAGGCATGTTTTTCAGTTTTGGATTGATGCGTTTCGCCTTTGCAAACAGGGCTTAGGGCATCACGGGCCTATTACTGCCACTACTACTACTGCTGCTACTACTACTACTACTACTACTACTACCACTACTACTACTACTACTACTTCTAGTATTCTAGTATAATTACTACTAGTACTACTGCCAATACTAGTACTACTACTACTACTACTACTACTACTACTACTACTACTACTACTACTACTACTACTACTACTACTACTACTACTACTACTACTACTACTACTACTACTACTACTACTACAACTACTACTACTACTACTACTACTACTACTACTACTACTACTACTATTACTACTACTACTACTACTACTACTACTACTACTACTACTACTACTACTACTACTACTACTACTACTACTACTACTACTACTACTACTACTACTACTACTATTACTCAACTACTACTACGACTAGTACTGCTGCTATTAGTACTGTTGCGACTAGACGACCATTGTCAATTTGCGGCACATGAGGGTGGTGCAAAACCGCTGCGGGAAGGAATTCAAACAAATACTTGCGTGCTGTTCCATAGATGAGACAACTATACGAGAAGTGTTCGAATTAAATTTCAACATTTAAGGTTTAAACATGTTAAAAACAGTCCAAAAAGTGTAACCTTGTTGTGCAAAAAATGATCTTGAAAAGTTTGGATGTCTAGCAGCTTCCAAGATGCATTTGGCGACTGTTGGTGAATGACAACGGCGTTATAGCAACTTGACAGATGCATGTGGCGACTGCTGGGGCAAGGGACGACGGCGTCATGGCAACTTGGAATAGACACATAAAAGTGTTCCAAAAACTTCAACATTTTTTCGAATCTTTCCAGGCATATTTTTCACTGACACGTATGTAAACATTGTTGGTATCGGTATATCAGCATGATCTCATTTCGTCTAGTGAAAGCTCCAGGAGCTTTCAAACAGTGGTTCAGGGTAAATACGCGCGGGACCCCAACGAAAACACGAAAAACCATGGATGCAGAGTGCTTGGTTGTTTCGAACTGCAACTTTGTGCTGCTGGGTCGCGAGGGTCACGAGATGTGTTCGCTTTTGTTTGCAACTTGTGCTTAACAAAGAGTTGGCCATGCCTCCTTTGAGGTAAACTTCCGTCGGATACCTTGGCACCCTGCTTGCAACAGTCCTACAACAGCTTTCAAGCAAGCTGCACGGACTACAGCCTGCAGAAGCGCCTCTGCTGTGACTCTCAGCCACGTGCGTATTTGTTTTTGCTTTTTGTTCTTTGGGTGTTGTTGTTGTGCTGATGCGTCGCTCTTACGAGCCGTTCATTTCCCTTGCCATACCGTGCAGGATCGCCCAATGGGCAACTAACGCTGTAAAGAGGCTCTCGCGCAAAAAGGAAATCGAAGCCATGTGCGTATGACTGCAACTCTACCGTTTCCCCACATCAGTTTTGACTGCCTTCCCACGGCAAACATTGTTGAAAATCGAGAAATGGAGCGGCGCTTTGAACCACCTGAAAACTGAAGCCGACAGCTTGAGGCCCGTGGCTGTATGCACAAGTTGCGAGCCCTTGTGAATGGATAGTTGAAACGTTTAAGCGTTTTGGAGTCATTCCAGCCTTTGGCAGGCGGAAAGGAGAAGAGCTCACCTCACTTTGGACGTGCAGGTTCAAGAGAAGCTTCTGTAAGATCCGGAGTAGACGCGTTGTCGCGGTCTGTTCTTGAGGTTGCATTGATTGTGCGATGGAAGTCATGGATGCATTCAGCTGGGTTATACACCGACACCGACGTCTTGCTTCAGAATCAACCAAATATCCCGATCAAGATCTGATCATTGGCCAGTTCCGTGCAATCTTGGACCAGGCACAGCTGTTGAACGGAAATCAGCTCGAAGCGATGGTTGTGACGCTGGGGCTTCGGATCCTTTCAGCGAGGCATGTGCAAAGAAAGGTTAAAACATAATGCATTCTCTTCGTCGCGTTTGGCGTCGGATGTCTCGGATATCGTACCTTTTCGCATCTCTGGCTCCGCAGAGGCAGTTTCCTTCGTGGACAGCCGCAAATGAACTTGAAAGCGTATGCTATTGCCGAAACGGCCGACGTGCTCAGTGAGCGTTTGCTGCAGGCGCCGGTTGAACGAGAATTGACACATGAGCCCTCAAACCAACAGTTGAAATCCGACGTCGAGGTAGCCGTGAAGCGTTGGTGCGTGAGTAGTTCGCGTAGGAGGGGCCTTCAGAAAATCCATGTCTGTCTGTCACGCAATGTTGCTTCACATGATTTAGCTGCAAAGTGCAAGCAATGGGATTTAACCTTCATCCACAATCAGAACATGCCGCGACGTGGCATGCTACCGGAAAGTGCATGTGATGCTGGATAGAGATAGGTGGTCCTGTCTGTGTTTCGGCTCAGCTGAAATGTCGCAGCTCTCACCAGTTTCATGTTGATCCCCGGCTGCAGGAAATGCTTTTGCGAACAGAGTGCTTGGGAAGAGGACTTGAAATTTCTAAGGACTGCGAAACGCATATCATTCCGCACGACATGCATGTTGTGTTCCTCCTCGCTCCTTGGCATGTTGACACTGTTGGAGCTTTTGGTGCTAAAAACCCGAATCGAAATTTCATTAGGCCATCGCCCCGCTGCTCCATGCAGCTCGTATTGACTTCAAGGACGGAGGGAAGTTCGGAGAGGTTCAGTGTAAGTCCCAGCATGTCAGTTCCTAGTTTCGGTTCTCTGTTGCGACAATGAAAAGGATGCCGCCGCTTCGCCCGAAACCGCAGCTGAGGAGATTTCCCTGCGAGCTTGCATGACTGGTTGAATTTTTGAGGCGTTGTAGTTTCTCACGATAGTACAACTTGTCAAGCTTGCATGGATGCCGGGATAGAGCCAGGACCTGATGGGAGGAAATGCAAAATTGCAGCGGCTGAGGGCATTCAACGCGACTGGTTTTCGCATGCTCCGAGAGGGTGCCGACCTTCCACTGGTGGCAACGAGTTTCGCCGAGACGGACACTGCCAAAGATTTGCCGTTGGAGTGGAGATCACAACTGAAGATCGTAAGCAAGCTCGGAGAGGGCTCGTTTGGAACAGTCTACAAGTGCCAAGTCCTGTGTGCCAGCACACCGTCATACGTAACAGTGAAGTTCATAGAAGGAAAATCCTCCATGGTGAAGAGGGAGATCAAGCTGCTAAAAAAGATGAGCGGAGTTTCAGATTTCTGTGTTTCAGCGATTGGCTCGCCCTCTTCCATTGACACGGAGACCGGCTACTGGATCATGACCCTGTGGCTGACATGAAAGCGACTAGTAACTTTCGGAAGGGGCTGCCATGCCCTCAGCTAACCCTAAACCCTAAACCCTAAACCCTAAACCCTAAACCCTAAACCCTAAACCCTAAACCCAAAACCCTAAACCCTAAACCCCAAGCCCCTTCATCCTTGAGCTCAGGATGCCCCTCATGAACAGCGGCGAGCTTCAAGACTTGCTCCTGCGGTGCGAGGCAAGCACCTGCAGGAACTGCAGCAGTACCAGGAACTGCTGGTCCAAGCTCAAGGCGTGGCCTCTGCACTTCTGTGAGACTCCTGGTGTGTGCATTGGGGTGGCCCTGCAGGCTCCTTACACGACTCCCTACATGCTCGCGCTCTTTCTCGACGTCGTCAAGGGCGTGAGGGCGTTTCATGAACAGACGGGCTATCTTCACGCGGACTTGAAGTCGGGAGCCCTAAAGAAACAGCCTCTTAAGTCAGAAGCAGCCGGAGGCTTGAAAGTCGCACTTGCCTTTGAGTTGAGGCCCGAGAATGTGATGATCAACTGTGGCTTGGATGAAAGCTATTCAGGATGTCTTCTGTTCTGGGGCATGTCGTTCCGGCCAATGTCTACTGAGTTCCAACCAAATGGCATGTGTGGAAGAAAGTATGCTTCTGAGGTGAGGCTGACAGCTGCTTCGCGGCGGTCATCGACTTGGGTCTGGCTTGCGATCCCAGAAAGCCTCGCCAATGCGGCCGCCGCGGCACTCCCGGGTATGTTGCCCCTGAGGCATCAAAAAGGGAGGGGCCTACTTCTTCGTGTCAGTTTTGCGCTTGTTCTTTTTTGCCAGGTCTCTGGTCGCTGGTCTGATTCGATTTGCTTGTCCTGTCGCCGGTTGGTTCCCTTAAAAAAGATTTGCACGATGCCACCACAGAATTCAATTTGGGTGGCACGCCCTGAACCGTAAACGCAGATGGAAACCACAACCCCCTAACAAGATGCTAGGTTGCCAGCCGGAAAAGCTCCAGAAGTAGACTGTCATTTACAACTCATACTTTGAGCGATGATACTGGGCTAACCCGAAAAAGAAAGGCATAAGTCGAAAAGAAGTCTGTCATGACAAACTCGAAGAAGATGTTCGGGCTGAAGACTTCAGACTCTTTAAACCTTAGAACCTTAACAACAATGTGCTTCGCCAACCCCCTCGCAACCCTTGTTTTTTTTTTCCATCCATGGCTTGCAACCTTTGTGTGGGTGGGATTGATGGGCGTCGACCTGCTCCGCAGGCTGTAGCAATGGTAGAAACACTCGCAACGGTTGTGATCATCATATGAGGTCATCATCTAGTGAGTGGCTTGCAGTCATTAACCATTGTCAATCAGTCAATGAAGGCAACCTTTCCAAACGATTTGCATCTGTGGATCTGTGGAGGTCTTGCTCTAGCAGAACCTATGGCATGCAAAGCGGAAACCAAACCGCTCAAAACTCTGTGGAGGTGCCAAGCCACTGGCTCACTAAGCCAAGCGAAGCCGAGCGCATATCACGACTGACCTGTCGGGACTTCAGGAATGCTCGCAACTGTTGTAATCAAGAGATCGATGAAACTTTTAGTTGCTCGGATATGATGTGCAGTCGTGACGTGAAACAACGGTTCGACTCGCGCGACAGCATGCCGGGTCCAACCAAACCATTCAAGACTTTCTGCAAAGTGCTACAGCGCAGACAAGCCACATCAAACGCAACCGCTGAAAAGCTTGTTGATGTCTGTCGGCCCATCCCGACCCACGTGTTAATACTGCCCAATTCTAGCTGATGTAGCACCTGCTCCAATGGGGATATTTGCAGCTCGTAAACGCATATTGCAACCTGGAGAAGCCGCCAAGCCTTCCTCCCAACACTCCGCCCAAGCTCAAGCCAAGCCAGCCGAATGCCCAAGCAAGATCAACCAAGCAAACCCCCCCTTTTTTTGGATTTTGTTTTCGATCCATGCCTTGACAGGCTGCCTTGACCATTGATTTCCTGTAGCGATTAGAAGACAGTGTTAAGAAGGCCTATTGAATGGAAGGAACGTGATAAACTGTAAGGGGATGAAGGTTTTCGTGTTGAAATTAAATAGGGTGTTTGACTCCTTGACGCTTTTACCAAAGCAAATGCAAAAAAGTGATCAAAACAGCCTCCACCCTCCAAAAAGCGATGCCCAGACTTGTCGATGCTTGCAAGAACATCTGTCCCGTGCAGAGGTGTGGAATGACGATTCGCGTGGTGCACGGTTGCCCTCGCGTGATGTTTGGGCATTGGGCGCCATCTTGTATGAGGTGGTTTACTCACACCTCCCTCCATTCTACGCAGATCGCAATGGCAGCAAGGCGGGCGGCTGGCAAAATCTGAATGATGATGATGCACTGCTTGAACATGCCATGACATGGCCCGTTTCCTGCTGACTGCCAGGCGACAGCGTACAACCCACATGATGATCCGAACATTCCAAAGCCTCCCAAAGCCATCGACGAGTTGGTCATTCATATGCTGGAGCCCGATTTTGAGCAGCGCCCGAACATGAGCGTGATAGAGTCGAGCCTGCAGGCCAACGGTTGCAACCAGAACAATTCCCGAAGCCCAGACGTAGACACCTTGAGGCCCGCACACGCTTGTTCGAGGCCATCATTGAGTCGACGAGTGACCCTAAACCCTAAACCCTAAACCCTAAACCCTAAACCCTAAACCCTAGACCCTAAACCCTAAACCCTACATGTTCGAGGCCGTCATTGAGTCGACGAGCGACTGGCGTGCCCGGAACATGGTTGCCGAGTCATCGTCCGAGCGGGGAGCAACTGCCCCGATCCCGAGCTGCCTCTCAGAGCTGCTCGGCACCCTTTGGTCTTCGGGTTTAGGGTTTAGGGTTTAGGGTTTAGGCTACAGCATCTTCACAACGCGAACCCTTTACGGATCACAACCCTTGCGATGCCTGAAAGGATCCATCAAGTTCACGATGTGGGGGACAGCGGGTTTGGGGTTTAATTTCATGGTTTGGGGTTTCCCCCCTCCCCCTGTGGTTCGTGCTGGGTGTATGGTTGGATACCAGGGGGCACCCGGCAGCTGCGAAACCTTAGCCCTGCAGAAGCTGAAATGGAAGCTGTTCACCTCCTCAAGATGGTCAGGTCTCATGCTGACCCGTGATGCCCATCAAGTGCATGTGATGCGTCCAGACGCGCCTGAGAACCGGTCGAAAGACCTGCAATGATATTGCACCTAGCTTGTGCAAACGCCAACCTCTGCAAATACATCGTGTTTCGTTTGTGCCTTTACAATCGCACGCCAGCCTCAAGCAGCCAAATTGCCTGCTGTCCAGGCCCGTGTGCAATTTGCCTCATAGGAAAGACTTGTGCCTTCTTTTGTCGAAGTGCAAAACGAGATCACCCGAGCAGATCTTATATCATTCAGCCTACGCATAACCTGGTTAAGGGTTTAGTCCAGTCGGCCACAATATGGTATGTCACGTCGAGGGTTGCTTTGGCCACTGTCGTCGGGATTCCCACAGCGGACAATCAAGTCGAAGCCGCCCGTTCAGTGCAACCCATATGACAAAGTTCTCGGTGCCCGTCGGATCCCTCAGACATAGGTGAACTTTCATGCTTAAAAGCACAACAAAGTGATGGGAATTTTCGTTGGCCAAAGTTCCACGTGGAAGTGCTCTGTTTCAGGTTTAGGGTTTAGAGTTTAGGGCTTAGGGTGTTTGGATAACTTTCTCAAAGTTGCACTGAATTGCACAGCAAAAGATAGATCTGTGGGCGAGTCTTGGCCATCCGGGTAAGATGCCAGTATCGCTTGAAAGAGTTCCGCCCTGACGGCAGACACCCTCGCCCGAATAACAAAAAGTTGCTTGGTTCTGTGTCTTTCGGCTCCACTCTACATTGACAGTGTGGGGTGTTGGGTTCTTGGCCAGATAGCTACGCTGTTTTATTGTGCAAATTTTGAAATTTTGGATGCAGCAAGATGTGATAGTCGTGCTGACAGAAGTTGTGGCAAGACGTTCGGGTTTGTCAGTACGCACGTTAGCATGTTAGCATGCGAAACAGTTTTTGCGCATAGGATTTGCCGACATTGCAGAAAGTCGCATGGCAGACTCTGATCTGGAAGATGATTCGTACAGAGTGGATAAGGAGGAGCGGCATCGGCAAGCGGCGACCGCAACTGCCTGGGCATCCGTGTCCTTGATCACCGGGGTAGTATTGGTCTATACTGCCATGTCGGGTTCGAAGTCCGAAGCCATCTATTTGATGGACAAGGTGGTACGCTTCGACACAGCAGGGCCGTACGGCGAGGATCTTGAAGGGGCGTCCCAAGTGCTGACAGCTCTGATGCTGGTGCGCATCATGCTTTTTGTGGGCTTGGCGGTGGTCGTGACCAGCCTCATCGGCATCACTGCAAGCACTGGCAAGCATAAATGCCTCGCCGCCACGTACGGCTCCCTCTCTGTGGCTTGTGCCGGCGTGATGCTGGTGTTGGCCATGCAAGTGCTGCAGCGGATATGGGTGGTGACGCCTCTGGTAGAAAGACAGGCGCCCTCCACGGCTCTTGCACTCCAATGTTGATTTCTTGTCCTTTACATGTAGTCACAGCATGTTGCCACATACACGACGACCCTGGTCCTTGTTGAAGTTGTTCTACTGATTCCAAAGTTGCACCCCAGCTTTAGACCTTGACGCCCGAAATCCGAAATCCTTATATAGATGGCCCCCAACCCAACCCCAACAAGCGGCGAAGTTTTTTAAACTCTAAAGCGGGCCCCCCTGAGGTGGACCATCTTTGCAATGCAAGCATCTACCTTCAGCCGGGGCTGCAGGGGGAGGGCTTATGGCAGTTCTGGGGGGTTGGGCTGACCGCCCGCAGGTGAACCAAGTACTTTTGGCTTTCATCTGTCCGGGATGTCCGGGCTTGTGGTTTGATGTCTGGCTTCAAGATGACGGGTTCATGGCGGTGAGGGTTGGTGGTTGACGTTCAAGTTGTAGCGATGCGGTGACGTGTTAGGGCGAGGTGAGGAGACACTGCAGGGCATGCAAGGCGCCAGGTCTGGTCGTAACCATCCAACAGCATCCAAAAGCAACAAAAACTCCCACCCCCCCTTTTTTCCCGAGCTGCTAAGACTCCCTCTCCCAAGTGCAGTGTGAGACATGAGTCCCAAGGCTGGGTAATGCCTTGGACTGCGGCTGGGCAGCTCGTGTTGGGAAAGAGGGCGCGGCTCAGCCGCATGAGAGCCAGTCAGCCCTGGTCTCAACTGTGCCTGTACTCATCCATGGTTGACAGCGCTCTGCGGATGCTGATGCTTGCTATCTTACAAGTAGTCGTCTCCTTGAGGGCACCTGATCAGAACGAACCGCTGTCACGGCCTGGCCCCTTTGACGGAAGCCCTTGCCACCTGCACTTGGAGTCCCGAAGCCATGAGCCCCTAACGTACTGACCCCGGTCAGATCGACGAGTGTGGTGCCGCTTGCCGCTGGAAGATCAGCCTGCTGGAGGACGTACAGGCAGGAAGTTGGAAGTGCGTCTTGTGCTCGCGTGCGGCTGTAGTCAGTCATCCGTCTTGTGCCACTTTCCATGCACCGAACAGGTTTCGGTTCCGATGTTGGCCGTAGTTTCCGCTCACTCTTCGAAGAATAATAATTGACCTTCACCCCAGAAAGCGTGAAAAGAGCTTGGGCACCAAACGCTTTGAGCCTGAAGTCCACCTTGGGGGTCGTCGAGTTGGGCCGCTACCCAAGTTGAGGCAAGAGCCGAAAGATGCCGAAAGAGCCGAAAGATGCCTGGGGTTTAGGGTTTAGGGTTTAGGGTTTAGGGTTTAGGGTTTAGGGTTTAGGGTAAAAAATCCAAGGCTGCAGTTTCTGCAACCCTCTCCCCACCAAACCTGACTGCCGGTGCACAGCTGTACACGTGGTCCCAGCTTCGACAGAAATCCCGTATTGGCCCTGACTTGCAATTGGCCAAGGGTTTCATTTTTCCGAGCCCATCAGGCCCTGGCCATTTCGACACAGAAAAAGTCCCTAAACCCTAAACCCTAAACCCTAACCCCTAAACCCTAAACCCTCCCGAACAAATGAGCTCTTCTGAGCCCTGCAAGGCATGTCGGCTCATGCCTCAGCTGTGCGAGTCGTTCTTGTACAAGGCCGTCTCGTGGCGTGGCATTTGCGGTTGAAGGGTTTAGGGTTTAGGGTTTAGGGTTTAGGGTGTGTGAGTATTTTGAGCCCGCCGGGGTCTGAAGCTCATGTTTTTGTTTCTGTGTGCTCCGTTCGTCGCGACGGTGCATGCAAGAAGCCCTAACTTTGCCAAACCCTAAGCCGGACGGGTGGCTTAGGGTTTTATTGTTGGGGCATTGCAGGGAGTCGCAGCAGTTCACCGGAACTTGCAAAAATCTGCCCTGACGGCGAACTGCTGTAGCAAATCTTTTTGTCGCGCTGTGCAAGTCGCCTGATCAGTATGGGTCCGAGCTACTGGGCGGCCATTCACATCGAAGGTCTCTGAAGCTGTTTTGTTTTCACTTTCGGTCTGTGCTCTTTTCTTCCATAGTATAGTAAATCTAAACAAAGTCATAAAGCATAGAAACATAATGATATATAAGTCGTGGCCTGAGGCTTCAGAAACTCCCTTCTCGAGCCCGCCGCTCTTTTGTGCCGTGCAAAGCTTGCTTTAACCAATGTGAACCCTTTCCAAAAAGAGCATTGTGTTTGCCAAGGCTGGAGGGGTATTGCCCCCCGACCCCCAGCTCTTTGGTGCCGTACAAAGCTTGCTTCAACCATATGAATCCTCTGCAAACCCATCATGCGAGCATTGAGTTTGCAATTACGGGGAGCCTGCGCGCCGCCCCCCCCCCCCCCCTCTCCTCGCCCCCCCCCACCAGCTTGCTTGAAAGAAGATCGCGCCATCAGTAGACATTCCTTCACATCCGGGATTTGCGGGCTTCAGGATTAGATGCAACAAGAGCGACATTGAGAGGTTCATTGGTGTCGATGTGGTAGTAAGTACAAAACAATAAGCGCAAACAACTCCCAACAAAACACACAAACACACCTAAGTTCATTTTGCACTTTTTGCCCACAACCATCCTTCACCCCACGGCCGAAAACCCTAAATTTCAGCACTTATTTCGATGGTGAGCAAACTGGCGCCAGGAACTTTCAGCCGACAATTGCTCAGCTCTGATTCGTGTGGCGCTTGGAGTTGACATTAGCAGGAGTTAATGTTTAGGGTTCAGCAGCTGTCGCATGTTGTCACGTTTGCGGCTCTTGCCGATGGCCTTCCCGGTAGCTTGATTTCTAAAGGCTGAACGCAGCTGCCACTTCCACTGTTCCGATTGTCTCGCATGGTTGGCATTCGAGGAGTGCATAGAATGAATGATTGAGGTTGTTTGTTCTGCACTCAAAGTCGCAAGGGCCCTTCTGGCAACGTGGTTCCGGCTCGGGGCTTTGTGTTTCGGGCAAACCCCATGGCAGTTCCCCATTCGAAGGCCACACGACTTCAACCCTGCAGAAGAGCCAAGCCACCACTTGCAAGGAAGGTCAGGCTCACGTCTCCAGTGGCCGCTGTTTCGAAAGCGACCGAGCTACATGGGACGATCCAGGAAAGCTACAATGAACTTGGGGTGAAACTTAGGAAGGCCCAAGGCAACACTTTACAAGCTTGATTGGCTGTTATCAGACGTTGGGAAACTGAGTGAACGAGCCTGGTTGTCGCTGGGCCAGGTGCTCCCTTCTCTGCCTCCCTTCCCCTCCTTCTTTCGCCCTTGCCCTCTCGGAGCTCTTTCTACATATGCCATCTTGGAACGAATTGGAAGAGCAGGAAGCGAGATGCCTGAGGTGTGCTGGGACTTTGTGGGTTTTTAAGTAAGACCTCCCGAGCCATTTGTGCAGCCTTTCCCGCCAAGCTTTGCAGGCTGCCGAGCCATGCAGGCCCGAGTAGGAACAAGTACCTGTCCACTTTCCGATCTAGATTGAGAAACAAAGTGGAGATCGCGGTTCGTATCAGGAGGTTCACGCTGCTACTTATGATGTTTCCGACGTGTGCGGTCTAGAAGACCACGAACAGTCGTCAAACAAAATGGTTTTTGACAACATTACATGCCTAATGGCCGCACCAAACCATGGTTGTGAGGCTACAATTTTTCCCTCGAGGGCAATCCCGCATGAGGAAGAACATATTTAGTGAGTCTACAAAGCTTGCAAATAGGAGGGTTGTTTTTGCTTGACAGAGGTTCAAATAGCCGAGCATTGCAAGATTTATGAGTTGTGTTGTGCTTCTCCTTCATTTCTTCAAGAACAACTTCTAATCTGAATCTCTCGTGTGTTCTTGTTTCCTCTCCCTTCCAGGCGTCTCAACGTAATCCGAGTCTACACCCTAACTAATTTCGGTCTCTGTCTCCAGGTAGAGGTGAGATTTGTCGTTTCCGCATTTGAGCTGGTCGTGTTCCGTATCGAAGGGGTGTCAAGATGAAGATGTACTTGCTCTTGATTGCGACCCCAAAATTCTGCGCTCAAGCCCCAATCACCTGCACCTCCCAAGCATCCCATGCAGAGGACATGCTCAACAAGAGAAAATCATGACTTTTTCCCCCAATAAATCAAACCCCGAAAAGTGTCTGAACTGGTCTAGACCCAGGCGCCGCGTCTTCAGGGGCCGAGACCCTCTTTGTGGCTTCCCAGCCGCGTGCGGCCTGCAGGTGGACTTCTTGGAGGGGTCAATGTGTCAAGGCAGTAGCAGTGACACGATGAAGCGTGACTCATGTAGCGCAAAGACGTGCCAGAAGAATTCTTTTGCCAATGTCCGTAGGTCAGGGAAACGACCTCAGCAGACAATTTGGAGTTCTTTGTTGAAGTTGGATGTCGAGCAGCATGTGCTTCCATGGTGAGATGCTCGTTGAACACCCGCGCCAGTGATGCTTGCGACGCGGACATCAAGTGCATGGAGTATTCCCACAGTCTCGCGACTCCGGCAGGGGGCCGAGTTAAGCTTTCAAGTCCATGCTTCAAGGCTGAATTTACGGATCTGTTGATGTGTGGTATGTCCTCCAAGTCACGCGCTTCAGGTTTACAAAACACATGTGCAATTTTTCTGCATCAAACAAAGAGGTTCGCGATTCAAGTATGTGCGATTCAAAACTCGTTTCCAGCCAGAAAAAACTCATGTGTTGGCAAGTACAGGGTCCGAAACAATCGTGGTTGAGACCTCCAAATTAGGGCCGCCAAAACAAAGCCAAGCTATACATGAAGTTTCGCAAGAGAATTCCTATGCAGACAGGCTCGTCCGGAAGTGTGCATGCTCTACAGTGGCTTGGCCGGGGCCTTTTTGGCTAGGCCAGCAGATTTCAAGGATTCGGTTTAGCACACGGGCTAGTATCTATGATTCGGTTTTGATCGTTCAGATCTGCAGTTGCTGAGAATCTGGATGCCATCAAGAATTTGCGGAGCCAAGCCGGCAGGAAGCGGCGGCCGAGTGTGAGGCAGTATCAGATTTTGTCAGCTGCCCCCATTGAGCCCTTTAATATTGGTTGACGACAAGGCCTACTTTACAGTTCAAGTGCCAAGCTGAAACAGCCCGAGTCCCATGTTTTCTCAATCGAAATAGCAAACCTCAATCGGGGCTTAGACCTATCACCCTAGTTAATCCCTGAACCCTCAACCCCAACCCTAAACCCTAAACCCTAAACCCTAAACCCTAAACCCTAAACCCTAAACCCTAAACCCTAAACCCTAAACCCGAAACCCTAAACCCTAAACCCCAAACCCCAAACCCTAAACTTACAGCTCAGACGGCCCTCCACCAGCCCCCGGCCTGGTCAACGCTTGCGCCATGGCAGGCCTGGAAGAAGTAAGACATCGTCTTTTGGGTTTAGGGTTCATGGTTTGG